GTGCGCCATCTCGTGGCGGCTGAGCGCCTACGCCGGGCCCGAACTCCGACCCGAGCCGGGAGAGGGAAGCAGGCTCCAGGCAGAGACAGCGAGAGAGAATGTGCCCAGCCCGCTGCTAAAGAGATCTCACTTTTACATCTAAGAAATTGCTGCAAAACCCCAGCCGGGTTTATAGCGGCGCATTCCAAATATGCAAATTGGCCGGCCCCGGACGGGTTTACGACCACATTGTCACAGCCATCGGAGGATGGGCTTTTATAGGGCTCAGAAATCAAACCCTCGCCCGCTCGCCGCCCGCCCGCGAACAGTCCTTCTGGCTAGACTCTCTCTAGCAACTTGGGAGACTCTGGTTAATCTTTAACCATCCCAAAGGAAGTCTTTCCTTAAACCTTGGGCTTCCCTGCCCACCCCCTCCCTGTCCCTCTGGAGAGGCCCTGTTCACCTCTGTGTCTGTCTATCAGCCTAGACATTCATCTCCGGGGTCTGTCCCACTCCCCTTTGAGCTCGAGGTTCCCAGTCGCGCCAGTTAGACAAACACACAAACAGATAAACAAAGCGGGGCCTGGGGCCTGGGGCCTGGGGCCCCTCTCCAAATTGGATCCCGTCTGCTTCTCTGGCCCTGCCTGGGTGGCTAGGGAGAGGGTGGGGTGGGGGTGGGGTGGCAACAAAAGGCTCTGGCCTCTCCGCCCTGCCCCTCAAGGTTATGGTGATGGTGATGTCCAATTTTAAGGCAGAAGTTCAAAGGCAGGAAACAAAGAAGAAGCGAAGAAGCGGCATCTTTCTTTCCCCAAAGGGAAAAGGCAATGTCAGCTGGGAGCTGGCGAGAAAGCACCCTTAGAGACGCTGAGAGTCTGCTCTGTCTTTGGACCCAGACCCTTCTCCCTCTTGCTGAAGGGTTCCCCAGGGCACCCTACAGTGGTTCCACTTCAGTCCTGCTGGTCCCGAGGTGAGGGAGCCCAGCCTGGGGTCAGATCCACTGACCACGTAAGGCCCAAGGTTTTCTCTCAGGGCTGGGGCAGTCAGAGGATGAAACCCCATATTCCAAGTCCTGACATACCCTATTCCTGGGACCCCATTTCCCCAAAGGACCTGGCCAGTCCCTTGGCTTCCTAAGCCTGGCTTCTAGTGGAATTAAATCCTAAGTCACCTCCCCACCCCCTCAGGGGCCTGGTAACTTGCCCCTTCCTTGGTGTGTGTTTGTGTGTGTGTGTGTGTGTGTGTGTGGGGGGGGTGATGGGGTAGACATTTGGCAGTAAAAGGTGAGCAAGGAGAGAAATGTCACACCAGGACCCAATGCTCAAGTTTCCACAGTCTTTATTTCCCTTGTGCCCTGTCGCTTGTATACATGCTGCGACATCCGTGATGGGCGAGAACAGAGGACAGGCCAACACTCCTTTACAAGCAGAGCCACCAGACGTTTCTTAGCACAGGGAGGCAGGTTCAGTGGGCGGGGGCCCGGCTTTCTCAGCTGAGGTCCCCGACACTGTGGGGCAGAACTACCTCAGGGAAAACCCCCAACGCTTTCAAAATATTGCAAGAAATTAAAAAGACCCTTCCCAACCCCCTTCCTGCCCCCTCTTACACCCCAGAGGAAATCAACTAATGGCAAAAAAAAAAAAAAGTATTCAAACAAAATAGGTTATGGTTTCTTTATTTACAAGTCTTTTGAACACCATCCCTGTATGAAGCGTACATTCAAATATTCTTAGCAGTGAGTGAGTTTAACCGTGGAACACTGTAAACAGATAGAGCCTTTAAATATTTTCATCATCTTTTTCTCTCTCTACATTGCATCTTTTAAAATTCGCTTTGGTTCCTGCAGGGAAATATATATATAATATAATATTTATCTGTTAAAATAATTCCAAATCACTCTTGAGCTCTTGGAAGGTCGCTGGAAACTTCCAAGCTCAGTTCCGGGGCCTTGAAAGATAGAGTGTGGCGCTGGAACCGGGTGTTTTGGGGGACTTGCGCCCCTCATAGCTGAGGACTGCTGGCCGGGTGGCTCCTCTGCTGAACAAATCCAAGCTTCCATTAAGTGTGGCAGAAGCTTTGCCAAGCTGCTGCACTCCACAGGCATTTCCTGCAGAGATGTAGGGGCCAGCGCCTGGGCACAGCCTCTCTGCTTTTTGATGTCTTCCACCTTGGGGAGTAGAATACTCTGCAAGCAGGCTTTAGGCCTGCCTGAGCGGAGGCCAGGGCGAAGACCCTCTTGGCTAGGAAAAACTAGGTGGGCTGCAGGAGGCAACTGCTAAGAAGCTCAGGATTGAGACAGTGCAGTGAGTGGCTAGGAGGAGTGGAGGACCACTAATGCCACCTAGAATCGTAGGGTTTTTTGTTTTCCCTCAAGGATCAGCAGCCCTCTCCCACCTCACAGCCACCTTAGTCCAGTCACCTTTCACACTGGCTCTGGAGAGTAGCCCCATTCTGGACATCTAGGCACCCTCCCCTTTCCTCCTGCTCCTGTCCCCAAGCTGAACTGGTTTTGGAGATGGACTAGCTTCTTGATGCCTGGGGGGTGGACAGGCTCCAAGTGGAGGGTCCTGGGTGGGGGTCGATCTCCAAGGGGCCTGGCAGGGGGCCCAGTCCCTGGTGGAGACCACACCCAGCCTGAAGCTCCACAGTCTCCAAGAATGAACCACCAGGGGTCCCAAACCATTCATCCTAGTTGATGCACAATTCTCTGAATCCAATCATTGTTAGGAATCTTAACCACAGATGCCCAAGAGAGTCCCGGCCGCCTCCTTGGAGGCTATCTCCCTGTGGTGGCCCCTCTCCTGCACACCTCCTCTCTTCCAAAGTCACTGTGTGGTGTGCCTTGACCTGGTCAAGGGCAAAATCTGCATATAATCTCAGGCGTATGAAGCCCCCCACCCGGTTCCAGCTGGCTGGAACCTTAGAGGAGTGGGTTGGCCGAGTAATACTGTAACCGGTCTCTGTTAATTTTTTTTTCCTTCATTCTTCTATTCTGAAACCAGATTTTGACTTGACGGTCGGTGAGGTTGAGCATGCGAGAGAGCTGCAGGCGCTTCTCTTTGTTGATGTACACGCTGAAGAAGAACTCCCGCTCCAGCTCCCGGATCTGGTACTTGGTGTAGGGGCAGCGCTTTTTTCGGGTGCGCTGGCCACCTGTGGAGGGAGGAGGAAGAGGCAGGGAGTGAGCCAGGTGTGGGGGCTGCAACCCATCCCAGAGCCCCCAGAGGAGGAAAGGGGCTGGCCCCAGGGACTGGAAGCCCTGCCCAAGCCCCTTCAGGGTCTCCCCAGACCCCTACCTTCAGGCTTCTCCTGTGGTCTGGGGGACTGGATGCAGGCGGAGGCTCAGCCCCAGATAAAAGCCAGCTCCCTAGATAGGCCCCCAGGGAGGCTGCTGAGGCTGCCTCCAGAGCAGAACGAAGGCTCCTCACAGCAACAGGCAAGTTTGAGCTGGGAGGCCACTTTCAAAGCAACGGAGTGGGGGTAGCGGGCGGCCTCCAGCCTGGCCAGACTAAACAAACAGCCACCCAAGGACATTTCACCTTCCAGCACCTGGTGGCCAGTTCGAGGAGGCTGTAAAGGCAGCCCAGGCTTCCCGCTCATTAACATCTGGGGCGGTTGCCGGTTCTTTGTCAGCCCGAGTCCCGGCCCTCAGTTCCTTGCTCCTGGGCCAGCCTCCTGGCCTCCAGGTCAGGAGAAGGCGGTGGGAGCCCCTACCCCGGGCCTTCTCAGCCCAAGGACACACAGCCATCTGGTCCCCCCAGGGCAGGGCTGCTTGCTTAGATGGGTGGAGAGAAGAGGGGTTCCCCAAGCCTCTGGAGGGCAGGCTCCACCCGCTCCCCCTTTGGGGAAACCTAAAGAAAAACCCGCTTTTGACAGACCAAACAGAGACTGAGTAACAAGCGGCTGGACAGGAGGCGGCACGTAATTGCCACCGCGCAGGAGGAAAATGGCTTCCTTTGGACAAAAAGGCCAACTTTGGGTTAATTTGTTGCTGTTAATATATTGCTCGAGCTAAGCGGGCTATTTTATCCATGCAACACGCTTCCCGCGCCATCGTTAAACAGCGACGCCTTTGAATCCCGGCCCGGACTGGCGAGCCGGCGCAACACATGGTTTTTATAAAAATCTCCGGATTACCTCGCTATCAAAGGCTCCCGGAGCCCTCGCAGGGGGAATTTACAGGCGCCCACCTCCGGCTCCGCAGCCCCTGCTGGCCCCGCTCGGGGTCGAGCTGCCGGGCTTGGGCGCGGAGCAGGGGAAAAAGGGAAAAAAGGGAGGGTGTTTTCTCGCAGGCATGCCTGGGCCGGTGGGTATTTCACGGCCAATTTCAGCACTCGCCACGTGATCCCGCCTTTTATAACGAAGTTTTGTTGGGGGAAACCTAAAGGCCCTTCATAAACCTTATATGCTTATAAAACAGCATATAAAAATTTAACAGCGGCGCTGCGCTAGGTTTCCAGCTCCCCTCTCCTAAGGCGCAGGGCCCTGCCTTTATACGTACTGGAGCCGCCGGCCCTGTCCTCAGTGTGGCCGGAAGACGACTCGGGGCTGCTGCTGCTCTCGGGGCGCCGCCGCCGCTCCTTCTCCTCCGCCGCCGCCGCCGCCTCCCGGCAGCCGCCGGCGCCGCCGTCCGAACTTGAAGTTGCCGGCGTGCCCGTGGCCGTCGCCGCCGCCGCCGCCGCCGCCGCGGAGGTCGCCGCGGCCGCCGGGGCCCCCTTGTCGGCGCTCTTGTCCCCGGGGTAGTCGGCGGAGGCGAGGTTCTCCGTGGTGCCGTAGGCCGTCTCGAAAAACTGGTCGAAAGCCTGCGGCAGGACGCCGTTCCTGCCCACGGTGCTATAGAAATTGGACGAGACGGCGGGGGTGGGGTGGTGGTAGACGTTGGCCGAGCTCTTGGCCAGCACGTCGCCAGGCACGCCGGCCGCGCTGGGCGCCTGCAGGCAGTCTCTGTGCGCGAGCTCCTCGGCGGCGTAGCAGTGCGCCAGGTTGCCGCGGGGGTGCCACTTAGTGGCGGGCTCAATGGCGTACTCGCGGAAGGTCACCTCGCGCACGGGTTGGACCTGGGGCAGGTTGGAGGAGTAGGAGTATGTCATTGGGCGCGAAGACGGGGTCTGGGGCAGGAAAGAAGGGAGGCTGGAGAAATCTGGACCGGAGACGTAGTAAGTACAACTTGGCAAATACATGTTAGAGGAGCAGGGACCACGCTCATCAAAATCCATCATTGGGCTACCTTGGGCTCTCCGCGGTAGCCGAGCTTAACATGATTCTCCGCTGCAGCTGCCTCTTTGAAGCGGATCCGTGAAGTAGAAATTTGGAGACGTAAGCTGACGTGGAAATCTATCCCCATCCTTAGCAGGGAGGTGCTGGTCATGTGACCCGATGTTGAAATTGACAAGCTGCGAGCTAGTCCCGGGCCTTTTTTTTTTTTTTTCCCTCTCTCTCTCTCTCTCTCTCTCTCTCTTTCCTTTTTTCCCCCCTCTGCCCTCCCTCCCCGGTTTCCTTTCTTTGTAGCTACCTCAGGGGAAGCAACAGATCGTCACTCGGTGTTCTCACCGAAAGCACGTAATCGCCGGTGTAACTCATGTTGGCTGGGGGGCCTCCCGGCGCGCGCGGCGAGGCTGGGGTGCGCCCCAGTGCGCTCAGCGGCACGGCCCCGGCCCTCCAGCGCGCCGAGGGCGGTGAGAGCTCCGCTCCTGCCACCCGCCACTCCCCGGGTGAGGGGCGCCCCGCGCTGGGGGCCGCCGGGTGGGAGCTCGGCGCTGCGCGTCCCGTGCGTGGTCGTGGAATCAGTCCGCCGGGAGGATCGCGTTCGCGCCGTCTTCTTCGCGGCCCCCCTCCCACAGGTTTGCTCTGGGCGCCGCGGCTGCCTCAGACCCTGGCTGGACCCCCTTCGGGGCCAGGGCCCGCAGCCCGGGATGTGCCTGCCTCGTGGCTCGCCCGATTTGCACGGTGCCTTGATTACACGCTCGCATTCATGGTCACTTCCGAACCGCGTTAGTGCCTTCCGTCCCTAAACCGCCAACGACCAGGGCGGCTTCCCTCGCGGTTTGTCAGGGATCCGCAGGTCCCGGAGGGCCTTCGTCTCACCCGGGATCCACCTCCCCTGCACCCTCCCTGCTGGCCTCCTCACCCCACCCCCTGTCCTTGGAGAAGCCCCCTCCTCCTCGCTGCCGGCCGGGGTTCGGAGTCGCTCGGCAGAGCCCGAGGCGCGGGGGCTGCGCAGCCGCGCGCCGGTCTGCCCTCCGCCTGGCCTTGTAAAGCTGAGGACTGGGGAGCCGGGCGGCAGAGGCGAGCCCGAGCTGCTTCAGAGGCGGTGACAGCCAGCCGAGGGGTCTCCTCCTAGGCAGGCTGCACCCTGGGGGGCCCGCCAGGCTGCGAGTGAACTCCAGAGCTCTGGGGGAGGTGGGGCCAGTGAAGAGGGAGCGAGGGCTAGGGAGCGGCAGAGAAAGGACTACCATGCCGCCTCTCCTTCCGTGCAAAGCGTGAAAGCCAGGGGTGTGCGGGGCAGACACTCGGAAGGTTCTGCGCTTTCCTGCTACGCATCCCACAGAAGAAACACAATGCAAAGAAAAGATGCGCTCCCCAAAGTCCCAGCACCTTGGGTGACAGGCCGCCTTGAAAAGGGTAGGCTTAAGGTAAAGATAGGAGACCGAGGCCACAGGGGCTACTGGGAGTCTAGTTTTCTTGGGAAGAGGAAAGAAAAAAATTGATGGTGGAAAATGGCCACTATTCTGCAGGGTTGAATGAATAATGCTCGGGAGGATGGAAAGAAGTAGTAGATTAACCAGGCATGGCCAGGAGCTGGGAGGGGCCCGCCCCGAGGCCTCCCCACACCTATCTTCTCGGAAGAAGCTGGATGTCGCTGAAGCAAAGTCGAAAATTAAAAAGAATAACCTTTTCCCTTTCCCCATCCAGGAAGTAGCTGAAGGTATTTATATATCTTGGGGAGATTTAGAGTATAAACTCTAAGATCTTTGGTATTTAAGTGTCAACATCGATTTATTTATTTATTGCTGAGCTGACTGTAACTGACTCAATAACAAATCTAATCATGTATTGCCCTGGAAAAGGAATATTCTCATTATGTATTTTCTCCAAATGATGGCTCAACATTGCATTTGAATGTCCGCTGTAAATATCAATAATATCGAGTAATTACTCTGTAGTGGAGTAAACTAATTTATTAGCATGAATGTTTATGCGGCTCCTACTCCCCTCTTTACAAGGGTAGCTTATCACAAATCATACTTCGCAGACACATTGGTTTAATGAACTCTTTATTCCGGGGTTTGCTGCAGGAACTTTCACGCTCCTTGAATCTCTGAGAACTGAACTCAAAATTATTTGTTCGTTTTGAGCTTGACATATCTGTCCACTGTGGCTTGTGCAGAGGGCAGTGACAGTGTGAGGGAGAAGGTCCGGTGGGAAGGAAGGTTATTGGGGAGAGGCAGCTTGAGACCTCTTAAAGCTGCAAGTCACAATTATGGGATTGCTCTACAGCAGAAGAAAAAAAGAAGGAAAAAAAAAAAAAAAAACACCAAAAACTTAGATTTCCAGCAGCGACCCACAAGGCAAAATATTTATTTCTCTACAGTATCTCTTTCTTGGAGACGTCATATACAAGGGAGGAGAGGTTTTCCAATAGCAGTATTTGAGCCATTCTCTGGCTTGATGTTGGCTCTCCCAAACTCTCTCCCAACAGCCCACCCAGTCCCCGCCACCCCCACCCTGGAACAAAAGGAATGCATGAGGGGTTTCAGTGACTGTGCCATAACAAAGGCGCCACCACTGCGGGGCTTGCCCCGCCCCTGGGTGAAGGCAAACAAATTCTTGCACTTGTATTAGGGCTTTTAAGACTATAATTGAACCTGGGGGCGTCTAGGGGAACTGAAAACAGTTCTAGACAGACCTGGGGTTTTATAGCAGTTTTGGCAGTCAACTTCAGCTTGTGCCTGAGCAGACCGGCTGCTGTGGCCCGCCAGCGGGGACGCCAGGCTGCCTCCCCCAGCTGCCTGCAGCCCCTCTTCTAATTAGCTCGGTTTCCCTTGGTGCCAGGGAGAAGGGGTCCCCACAGGAAGGTGGGTATGGGGCTGTGCTCTGTTCCGCATAACCAATGCCTCCGGTGTCCTTGAGAGCCAAGCCGAGAGGGTGCCGCAGGTCTGGAGCCCATGGGTGTCTGCAGGAGACAAAGGCGAATTGCCCAGGAAAGGCTGGAGCAGGGGAAGTGCTCCGGGAGTGGCTGGCGGGGCAATTTCAAGGGCTGGACAGAAGCGGGGTGCCGGGTGGGGCTTGTCGCCTGGAAGGGGGCGCGTAGGGGCGCTGCCTGGAAGATGATGAGGGCAAAGGCTTTTGATGCCAGGAGAAGGGAAAATGCCTGGAACGGTGAATGCTTTAGTTCCCCGGCAGGGACAGGATGGGGGTTCTCAGATCCCCAACGCTGCGCACTGTTCCCAGCCCCTGCCCCTCTTGCCCAGGAACGTAATGACTGTGTGAATGTTTGGTGGTGGGTGGGTGGGGGGAGAGGGTGGGCGCAGCTCTGAGGATCAGGCCAAATCTTGGGGGAGCGCGGGAGGCAGAGCTGCGGGGTTTGGACTTTGCTCTAAGCCTAATTGACTCTTCCGCTTTGTAGGAGGCCCCACAGCAGAGCTGAGCCCACCCGACTCCGGGGAAGACCTAGTGGGGGCTAAGGCCGCCCTGGAAGTCCAAGTCCGAGTTGCATTTCTTGAAGAGGCTGAGCCAGGCAAAGCTTAACATTGGCCCTGGAGACGGGTTTCCCATGAGCTGTTCTTTTTCAAGAGCTCCACAGCGCGGAGCCATCTCCAGAAAACAATCCTCGGCGTGTATTTCCTTTTATCGTCAACCCGGAGCCCCACGGCAGCTAATGCAAGAGGCCAAAAATGTTTTGGAGGAAGAAAAACAAAGGCAGGAAGTGGCGGCGGACTGACGGTGCGTGTGTGTCTGCGGAGAAGGGAGGGAGCCGTTTCAATCTCTTGTTTTTCCAAACTTCTCTTCTTGTTGTTTTTCCAAACTTCAAGGTCTAGGCAGCCCTCGCAGGGCCGGCCCCGTCGCTCCCCGCGCAACATTTTGGAGATGGCCACCCGGAGAGGAGAAGGCTGGCGCCCGCGCCAACCTCGTCAGGCGGAAATGGCTAACGAGGAGATTTGCGCAGCAGAGCAGACCAAGCCTTTCCAAGGCTCGTTTGATTTGGCCCTAATGTCGGAGGGGGTAGTTGGGGGTTCTGCAGCGCCTCCGGATCCTCCTGGGGCGGGCTGAGTGCGCCCTGGCGGTGATGGGGTTATTCTTGCGCCCGCGCTCCACGCGCCTTCCTAGGCGGGATGTTGGAATAAAGTGTGTCCAGGTGCCTCTGCCCAGCACTGCCGCCTCCGCTTCTTCTTGCAGCCGATGGGTCTGGGCCGCAGCTGGAGGGCGGTTGTTGGCGGTGCCTGGGATTGGGTAGCCCTGGCGCGGTCAGTGCGCACTGGGATAATGTGAGGCCTTTCGCTGAGATTGTTGTGCTCGGGGTATTTCCAGCAATCATTCTAGGGACGGAGCCCAAAAGACTGCCACTTGATAGGTGGCTTAACACTCGCTCACTCCTAGGGAGGACAGAGCTGGGGGTAGGGAACACCTCCCGACTCCGGGGTTCCCAACCCCAATGGGCCCTGTTGCTAGGCTGCCTTCTTCTTCCTTAGGACCAGCAGTGACTCATTGACCCCCAAATCTGAGAATCCAAGGTCCCTAGTGCCTGCACTTGCAACCCTTTGATGGCTCTGTGCTTAGTCCGTAGTGTGAATGCCAATACCAAGATGCGTTCACCCCATTCCCACCATGGCCAGTCCAGTCTCTTTGCACCTACTGCTCGCCTGTCTCCCGCCCTGCCTCTTTCCAGCCCAGTTTCGCCTTCTTCAGTTTCCTGCCTCTTCTGATGCATCTCATAGGCTGAGCAAGAACTGAGGTGCCACTGGAGGGCACCCAATACTCAAGCACAGAGAAGGGGACTGCTAGGTTCCAGATTCTTCCTCATTTCAGGCCTCCTCCATAGAGATCTATCCGAACTGGATTTCTCACCTTCTTCTGAACACTCCATTCCAAGGCCCTACATCGTCCTTTTACTCTTCCTTCCTTTCTTACCAGCTCTTCTGCCTTCTCTTCTTAGGACCCAGCTACTGCTTTTCTAGACCCAGCAATCCTGGATGACAGCCAGCCTGGGAGGAGTCAGGCCCTCTTAACAGACAGAAACTCTCTCCCCAAGATCCATAGTCATTTATCTGTGGATCACTTATCGAGCGAAACCAATTTTTTTCTTCTTCTTCTTGCTGGTCTGAGCCTCTACCTTCCTCTATCCTTAAATGTCACACCTGTTTCTAGAAAGCTATACAGAAGACTATTTCAACCCCGTGACCATACTGCACTCAGGTGCAAGAGCCAGCTGGAGGACCCAGGGTGGAAATGGCCATAGCATTCTTTGGGGGGGGGGGGGGGCAGTTCGAGCAGGCCAAGCCTCTACCAAGAACTCTCTCCTTCCCAGTGGGAGGAATCCTGGCTGGGGGTATGTTTGTCTTCCTTGGTGAGTTTGGGAAATGGGCCAGTCAATTGGCAGATCAGAGCCAATCTATCATTTCCAGGTGCTGTCCGAGCTGGCGCTGAGGCTGAGATGAAATATCAGGAGACTCCCTGCTGTCATTGCTAGGTTGGGGCAGGGGTTAATTTATCCCTCAGGCTTGGCAAGGCACCCCACCTGTCCACAAGCTCCTCTACCCTTCCCAAAAGAACAGAGACAGGTAATGCCTTGAACTTGACCTTTTGGCTGGTTCTGACCTACAGGTTCAATCATCAGAGGTGCCTAAATATCTGAAGAAGTCCACATCCTTCTCCTGGCCTCTAAGGGGTGGGGCATAGGGCTCAACTGAAAGCCTTAGTCACCCAAACAATCTGGTTATTATTTAGTTTAGTGGACCCAAACTGATGGGAGGAAAAGGGCTACTTTCCTTGAGAAGAACTATTATTTTCATGGTTGTGTACTCATTAGAGATATCCCCCCCTACCAAGTGGGAACAAATGGGATGGGGGGGGGTGGATTTTGAAGGGCAAAGCCCATGTTCTCAGCGTGTGCCTTCCATTCTCCCTGGAGCTTCGGCTCAAACGGGTTCCCCCAGCCGCTTGTGTCTGCAATAAAGGGGACAAATGAGGGCGGCCCAACCAGAAGGTCAGCTCTGGCCCTGGGGTCTTGGTCCCCACAGTTGTAGCCCCCAGGAGACAGCTCCTCAAGCTCCTCTGTTTCTACTCAGCCACAATGCATGGTTCATATTCCAGACTTGAGAAGGGCGAGCCCCAGTCCAGTCCAACCCTGCCCTAAGAGTCTCTGCCACATGGCCCGCAAGGCAGTTCTGCGACGGTACCCATCCACCGGCAGTCTCTCCAGTGGCTAGTGTCCCCTCAAGGCCCTGCTCCACCATGCAGCCCTAGGGATAAAACTCAGCTTTTCTGCTTTCTGTGTGTGGGGGGGGGGAGACAAAAATCTTTGATTCACCTGGAGCAACAAGCTCAGCGTCAGACCAAACTTACACTGTTTGTGGACCGCTGAGCCTGGTGTGGTGACCTGCTTCCAGCAGGCCCTGAAGGGGCTTGCACCTCAAGAACACAGTGAGGGGGTTCTTGGGGCCCGGGATCAGGGGCTTTTACCTTTGGCAAAATGCACCTCACTTCCTGACCCAGATTTTAGGCAGAAGAGGAAGGGCATCAAAGGGCTCACCAAAGGCCTGCCACGCATTGAGGTTGGCGGCTGGACTCAGGGACCTCAAGAAAGGCTCCCAGCAGGGTCCTTGCTCCCTCCTCCTATTCTGGGCCCAGTTGACCTGATGGCCTTACCCGTCCCCTGTTTCTTGTTTCTACGGGAGTTAAGGACTCAGAACCCTCCGGATCCAACCATGTTCAGTCTCTCCACCTTGCAATTGCAGGCGCTGCTGCCTCTCACCAGGGCTAGGCCTCACGCTCTCAGCCTCCTGGACCCTGCTCTTCCAGGACTCCATGTGGCACAGCCCGGGCCACCCCACCGCTGGCGGCGGGGACTTTTCAATAGGGCTGGGGGGGGATGGAGAGAAAGAACTTCTGCCCCCAGTCCTGGAGCCCGGGCTATCAGAACCTGCTTGCCGCGGCCGGCCAAGTGTGCATCCCGCGCCTTCCTGGGGCCGCCGCTGCCACCGGCCCTGACCGTGGTGGCGGCGATGGCGCGGAGGACTTGACCTTTGCTGCTGACAGGGAGGTCGCTCTTTGAGCTGAAGGGAGGGGGATTCGGCTGTTTCCAGCTTCTCCCGCCCAATAGCAGCCTGGACAATCCTCCCCTGCAGCACCGTTCACCCCCATTCCCCCCTCCATTTCGTGCAGGGTCCGCCGACCCTCAGCCTGAACAAAGCCCCCCAGCAGAGTGCTCACCACCTCCTTTTCGAGCTCCTGTCCCCAACTCCCCGAGGCCAAAGGCTCCGAGTTAAAGCCCAGCAGGCAAGGCCCTCCCCATCGCCCTCTTCTCTCGCTTGACCCCGGCCGCCCTCAGCCAGCGCCAGGGACTACTGTGGGTGCCAACCGGCCCCCAGGTCGTGCCAACTTTGCGCGCGCGGGGTCCTGGCCTCGGGCTGCAGGCGGCGCCGGGCCGAGCGGAGCGGAGCGTTGGCGAGGCGCTGGGCGCGGGGCGCGGCAAGGCCGGAGGCTGCTCGGGGCCCAGGCGGAGACCCGCGGCTGCCGGGGCGCCAGGATTCGGCTGCTCGCGTCCACGACGTGGCCCTGTGCGCCCAGCTCGCTCCCGCTCCCTCGGATCTCACCCCACCCCTTGGCTCCTCGGAAAACGGAAGTGTTTGGTAGAGAAAAACACGGTTTCTTCTCAGCCCATCTCAGAACCCCTTTGAGAGAAAATGCTCCTGTCAAGTTTTATTTCCCGTGGCAAACCACCTTCCACGCTGCCAGGAATGAAGGCCGGGAGAGATTAAATACCCGATTCTTCTCCGGGGAGGGAAGGGCGGGGCGGAGAAGGTTGCCCCCGCACAAAACAGTCGTTTCACTCGGCTCCTCCTCATCAAATCAGCCCGGGGAGGCCCGCGAAGGGCCGCTGGGCGGCGGTGACGTCAGCTGCAGCTGCGGGGCGACTCCCCAGCGCGGGTGCCCCGCGCCCCCGGGGCCGCCGGCGCGCGCCTGGGGGTCCAGGGCCTGGGCCTCGGCCTCGGCCTGCGTCCCTGGGCGTGCCCGCGAGCCCCAAGCGAGGCCGGCTTTGCAGGGGTTGAGCCTCCATTTTGAGTAGAGGGTTCAGGGACCAGCGTGGAGGGTTTGGGGCCTCGACCTTGTCCCCGAGGGGCGCGCTCTGAGCCCGCGGCGGCGCTTGCCCGCGGGTCTGCGTCCCGCACCCGGGAAGCCCCGCGCCGCCGCACAGCCGCGCACAAGGCTTGACCGCCTCCGAGGCGCCCTGGTCACAGTTGTGCCTGGTGGACCCCGCTCTTCGGCGGCGACGGGGCCGTGCAGAAATGAAATTGGCTGTGGCCAGGCCTTGCCTGCGTTGACCGAGACATTTTTCTGGGCCGGCGTCTGTTTTCTTCCCTTGAAAATCCAATTTAAAATAGCAAACTGCGCCTCGGCCTTCGTGGGCGGTGGGCAGCTGCGCGAGGACGGAAGCAGCCCGATCAGAAAAGTGGGTATTTTCATCAAGAACGAAGTCGCCTGTTATTCACGGCGGCCCCGCTGATGAAAACGTATGACGGTGTGCCCGTCCCACGCTGGAGGCAGAAAGCGCCGCAGGCCTCTCGGATGGCGCTACCTTTTCGCGCAGGAAAAATGGCATGGGAGCAACTCGCTGCGCCTTTCTCTGATTCTTCGGGTCTCGGGCTGCTGACACGCATTCGATCAGCTTTAAAGGAACGCGCTGATCAGCGAGCCCCCGCCGTCTCCTCCACAGAGGCCCGCACATCCGAAGGGGCGCCCCTGAGCCCACCGAGGCTGCAGCTGAGCAGTCCCGGGGCAGCCTCCGTCTCGGTTCTGAGCCTCCAGCCTCGCGTCTCAAGAATCCGCAGAGAGGACGGGAGAGGCCGCATCTTCCCCAAACACACTCAGCGGGGTGTAAGCGGTGCAGATTACACGGTGAAATCGCTGTCCCTGCCCGCACACCGCACTATCACCCTCAGCGGGATTGCACTGCCCCGTAATTTTTAAGAAAACATTTCAACTAGGTTAAAAAGTTCTTAAAAATTCTTCCTTAAATTTTTTTCTCTCAAAAAACAAAACAAACAAAAAACAACCCACACAATTTAAATGCATGGCTTCAGCTCTGCATCGGGCATTAATAGTAGTGAAATGAAAAGTGACATTTTACAATCACCCACTTAAAACACCGTAATAAATGTGACAGCATTAAGCGCAGATGGGAAAAGTAGGAGTTTTTCACCCCCTGAATTCCATATGTACAATTTTTTTTAATGGCAACATGACAGGCCATTACAGGATTTAAAATCTTTGCTAGCTTCATAAATGAAAACGGTGTCCAGGCGTTTGCATATTTACAATGTCTTATGCGGAGAGTTTCCCTTTAAAGAAGTATACTCAAGTCAGCTTCAACAGCACTATCCCAGGGTCTGGCGTTATTTTCCCTATATGGTGGCATCCTCCTGAATGTTTTTTTTTTTTTTTTTCTCCCTAAAGGTTTAGACTAATTGATTTGGGGGCATTAGGGAGCCATCATAATCCAGGCTTACTTCAGGTTGTCTGGTAGATCCAGGGGAATTTTAAACAAGAGGGGAGTTAGGTAAGATCAACATTATCAACAACCATTTTAGAACAAAGAGAGGGTAATAAAAAAAAACAAACTCTGAAATATCTTCTGTCATTAGTTTCAAAAACTGCAGAGAGAGGAGAGAGAGGAAAAAAAAAAATGACTACTTTACCCAGAGTTCCTGCAGTGGCGATGGCTGGGAAAGGGGCGGTATCCGCTGCAGAGCTGCCGCTGGCCTCCTTCCTAGGCCTGAGGCTGCTAGGATTTCTTACATCTAAAGAAAAATACCCCCGTCAACAGGACAGTCCCCTTTGGAGCTATTCGTAAACACACAGTTTGATCCAGTTTTGAGGGGGATTTCCCACCACTTTAAACATTGGGGGCGAAAGCTGTGACTTTGGAATGATGGCAGCTCATTCAGAAATGGAGTCCTGTGGCCCAACACTTGGGGAGGTGGATCCGAAGCATCATTTTCATTTGTTTCCACAAGTAGAGTCCCCAGGGCAGCAAAATTTGATTGCCCTTCAAAAGGCCTTTTCGTATGTATGTTTCAAGACCATGCTGTTTTTGAGGACAACTTTAGAGATTCTCTAATTCTCCATCTATAAACAAGCTGTACGTCTTTCAGTTGGAGAGGTTTCCATCAGGTTTGAAACCAACCAATATTATTTTCCATAAAATGATGAATATAGTTCTTCTGGTCACAATGGCTTTCCTCTAACATAAAAATAAAATTAACCTCAACTCAAAATTCTGCATCAGAAGGCTCCTTGGTTCCACTAACATTGCAGTACATATGTGCATAGCATGGATTCCACAAAAACACATTACCCTCTGTGTATAGTAAATATATAAACATACATATGTATTATTTATTACTCTAACCACAGCCCTGATGTGTTGTTGGGGGTCAGAAATAGTAAATATAGTACTTGTTATTATTACAGTTTTGATGGTGGTTGTTCATATTAAATGTATATATTTCTTCCACAAATCAAATGGCAACTCTGCAAACATCAATATAAGCTTGCCCACCTCCCAGGAGCAGCACTCAGCTCTGAGCTATCCAGGATAACTCTCCTTCTGCATCTGTATTATGGTCATTTTGTAGACATGAAATCTTTAAGCTCTTCGTACTGACCTCTTAAGAGGTGGGTTTCTTTGAATCTCTGAAATGTAACTCTAGAACTCTAGAGTTACTGAGGCATCTGAACCTTTTTATTTGCCGTATAGTCTCCCCTATAGCTGTAATTATGATGGTAGACCACCTTGGAGGGTGAGGCCCAGGAAATAATGGTTATTTAAGAACACCTCTTAGATTGTAACAAAAATGTACAGCTTTAAAGGAGATCTGCAGAAGTCTGACACAGAGCAAGTCACTATGAAGACAACTTGAACTTAGCCATTAAAGAAAAGGAGCAAACTTCATCATGTAAAGTACATTTTGCACCTCAACTCTAGAAATTACCTTAAATTACAACATCTCAGGTCATCAGTAATTAATGACACTATATCTGTACAGATTCTACAAATATATATATATATATATACAAGCACACACAAGCACTGGTCAGCATATATGTATACACATATATGATCTATATTCACATATGTACAGACACATGTATAACTTACATATATTCAAATTTGCTCCACCTGGAGCCAAAGAAATGAGCACTAAATCTCTAAGGAGTCAAGAAGGTAAGACCTTTTGATTCCCTTGAAGCTGAAGAATTACAAGGAAGCTTGTCAACGCGAGGTGGCGCCCTTGATCTACTAATCCAGCCGAGGCCAATTCATGAGCTGTCAAAAGTCAAGGTCACAAATTGTCTTTTTTCGTCAAGGTCAAGGTTTAAGGCCTTTCCTAGTCCTGTCATTTCAACAAATATCAAAACCTGCCCTCTCAGACGCATGCAGACCCAACAGCAGATTTTAAAATACGACAGCTTGGTATCGCTGATACTAAACAACTGGTTTTCATTTTCTGCAGGGAGCCTGAGAATTTATACTATCTCTTCCTCCTTTTTTTTTTTTCCCTCCTTTTCAGAATCCATGGCATTTTAACCTTTCTTGAGGCACTTTTCTAAAATTTTAGGATTTTAGTTATGAGGGATTTCTCCCTTTGCTTAAAAAATTTGTAGGGGGGGAAAAAGCTAAATAGAAAAGAATGGTCCTTGGTTTGTGTGGGACAAACCTGCGCCTTTTCCTTCTGTGCAGCGCACGTTTAGCATGGGAAAATAATGAGTGTTTCCTTCAGATTTTAATGGCAGTGACTACTTTATTAACATAATTAACACCACTATAGCACTATCTACAGGCCTAAGGTTTTTTTAATTATTATTTTTAGTTGAGATATTTGGAAAGCAGGTGCACAAATACATTTTCACAGTGTGCTGAATGTCTTTATTTACAAGATAGCATATTATAGTGAATATGAACAAATGACTGTGCTGACTGAAATAACTGCTTGATTAAAAGTGTGCTATGAAGATGAATTCCTAAACTTTCTAATGCGGTCTCATAACACAATAAACAAGGAAAAATATGAATCCCTTAACAGATCACAATATAGAATGTAAACATCTAAATGTTTCAGGGTAATGGATTTCCATTCTAAGTTTTCCAAAAAAGAAAAATCATTTCTTCCGCAATATCTTTAATAAATATTGGGAAACAGCAATTTAAATGAAAAAGAAAATTAATTATATTCAAAACAGAGTCCACCATGTTAGGGTGGCACCTCTTAGATCTCGAGATCTGACATAAAGTGAATTCTGTGAATTGTCTGATGTTTTGAATATTAAAAAAAAAATGAGATCAAATCCTTTGGAAAGTAAATTATATCAGGGCAGAAAACATACTCCAAATGCTACAAAATATGCTTGTTATAAGCAAATAAAGATTATTATCAGAAGGACATTCCAAACTTGGGGTTCCCTTATAGCCTCAAAGACTCAGCTGGTTGTATTACTACCAAGACAAACAATCCTTGGCGGAGCTTTCTCTCCCTATCTCCCTTCATAGAAAATAGTCCACAATCATTACTTCAGTACCTTCTTCTCTTTCCCCCTCTAAATCTATACGTGTTCTGCAGAATATACAACAATGGTAGGGTTTCAACTGAGATTTACCTGAGCCGTCACTTAACATGCAAAGGGGATGCGATGGCGAAGGACAAGCAGATGTTTACAACAGCCTCTTGCTTTTGTAACCAGTTTTCGGATTATTACCATATAACATAACGTCCTAAAATATAACGGTCACATAAATACTTACAGGATTTCAGTAAATGCGTAACTTATCTGAAAATGCATATTTGGGGGTTGACATTTGACACCAGAGTTTGTCATTTAATGGTCTGGTGGGGTTGGCGGAAGAACTGGCAGTCTTCACCATTGCTTAAAGTTTTAAAATAGTTGATTCCACCAAGGAGAGAGAGATTCCCCACTCAGGAAAGCGAAATGCCAGTGTCTCTCTTTCTCTTTCCCATTCTTCAATTATTATTAAGCATTATAATCATGATCTGGGTAAAGCAATGAGTTCCGAAGCGTTCTCTTCAAGTTGCCTTCTTTCTCGCTTTTAATCCATTAACTAGTGGTCTTCAGTTTGTTGATGACTTTTTTCTCTTTGACCCTCCTGTTCTGGAACCAGATTGTAACCTGCCGCTCGGAGAGATTCGTGGTGGCCGATATACGCCTCCGTTTGTCCTTGGTAATGAATTTGTTTGTAGCGTATTCCCGTTCGAGTTCTTTTAATTGCACCTTGGTGTAAGGGACGCGCTTCTTCCTCCCCCGCCTGTAGGAGCTGGCGTCTGAGGGATGAGAGACCACGTCTGAAAGACAGGGGAGAAGGCAAGTTACACAGGGAACGCGGGCCAGGACACAGGGGACAGCTTGATCTGAGCTCTCCGCCTTGCAGCGCGGGGCTACTCTTTGCCACGCACTGCAAAATCCAGCCTTTTGCCCAAACCTGGAGGGTCAGTGGGGAGAGTGATTAGTTCTGCACTGAAATGGAATTACCCAGGACTCCAATGACCGTCCCAGCTAGGCCAGCAGCGCACCAGGGTTCCCTTGATCGCCTGGCCTACAGGCCCACACCTTAGCACTGGGCTAAGGGGACAGCACTTCGACGCCTAGCTCCTCTCTGTATTCCCCAACCCCTAACACTTGAAGCTTCTACAATGAAGCCCTTTCTGAGAGAATGGAATACGGGCAATTTAGTAAACCGTTTCCAGGTCAATTTCCCAGCTTTAAGTCGCTGTCAAGGGCTGGGGAGGGCGGGGCACAAAGGGAGAAGGAAACCAGCCTGGGTCCCAATAAGTTATTCCACCCTTCCCTCACCCAGGGAGAGCCAGGAGCCAGCCCGGCTCCAGGGCAGTACGCCACAGCGCCAGTCAGCGGGGTCGGGCTCCCCAGGGTGCAGCGCCGCCGCAAGGGCAGGTCAGGGAGAGACAGCAACGGGGTCCCAGGGTAGCCCGGGAGCAAGCGGAGGAGAAGCTGCAGCCCAGCCGGAGGACCAGAGCTGAGAGGGGGGGGCGCCATTTACCGGGCAGAGTGGACTTCCAGAGGTGGGGAGGCTGCGCCTGCTCTTTAGGGCAGTACATTTGGCCGTTCCAGCCGTTGGGCAGCGCCCAGGGCTGGTAGCTTTCCATGGGAAGACCCAGGGGTTCGTGGCGAGACTCGCCGGGCCCCCCGAGGCCAGGCACCACCGGCATATCCAGGTAGCCAGGCACGGGCTGGTGGTGGTGGTAAGGCCCGGGCGCGTAACCCTGGTGGTAGAAGGCGAACTCCTTAGCGCGGGAGCTGAACTCCTCGGCCGCCGGGCCGGCGGTATCCATGTACTTGTCCGCGAAGGCGGCGGCGGCCGAGGCGGGCTGCGCGCACGACTTGATGGCGTTGGGGTGCGGGCCCATGCGGGCGCATGGGTAGTAGCCGCTGCCGAAATAGCCGTAGGGCAGCGCCGCGGGCCCCGACGAGCTCTGCGCCGCCGCTGAGCAGGGACTGCACTGCTTGGCCGCCTCGGCTCCCGCCGGGCCCGCCGGGCCGGGCCCTCCCGAGGACGAGGCTGCCGCGGCCGCTGCAGCAGCGGCGGCGGCGGCGGCGGCTGCGGCGGCGGCCGACGGGGGCGCCTCCCCGGGCGCGCTGCTGTAGGCGGCCGCGGCGCCGGGTGCCAAGGGCGCCGGGTGCGCCATCAGGTTGCGGCACTGGTTGGCCGCGGCGGCGGCAGCTGCCGCCGCCGCCGCCGCCACCGAGAAGTTGCCCCCCGCGGCCGCGGCTGCCGGGTGGGGGAAGCCCCCGCCCCCGGCCCCGGCTGCTGCCGCCGCCGCCGCTGCCGCCGCCGCCGCCGCCGCCCCTTCCATGTTCTTGTTGAGCTCGTCGGCCACGAGGCCGCCGCCGTTGTCGTAGAGAAACATGACGGTGGGCTCGATCCAGCGGGGGTGGAGGAGCACGGAGGCTGTCATAGCCCGAGCCGCATGGAGAAGACCCCAGTGGCGCTGTTTTAAAAAGCCCCCAAGAAGTGAAGAGCGCGCCGCGCGGGGCCGGGGCCCGAGCGAGGGGGGCGGATCGCGCCCCGCGGGGTCGCGCCAGGCGGCCGCCCATTGGCCCGCCCCCCTCCGCTCCGCCCACGGCGTATGCAAAGCGGGCGGCTCCGGCCCTGGCCCTGCGCGGTGCACCCGCGGTCCCCGCCGCCGCCCGCGAGGTCCCCAGCGCCAGAGGCCGGGCACCGTTCACCCAGGGGAGAGGCCGGCGCCGCGGGCGGGCGGTGCAGTAGAGAGGGAAGGGCCGCCTCCCCGCCGCTCCCCTTCCTTTCCCTGATCCCAGGGGGGCTCGGAGCCGTGTAAGATTGGGAAGGGACAGGGGCGCGCTGCTGGGTTGCGACGTGAGGCGGTGGGGACAGGTCGGGTAAACCTGCGGTGTCTGGGGACGGGAGCGTAGCGAGGCACAGTGCAGGCAGGGCGTTTCTTGGGGCCGCGGGCGCTGTTTTCTTTGCAGGTAACTACGCGTCTTTCATGGACATGAGCGCTTTCCGCCTCCAGAGCTTGGCGATTTAGCTCTTTCCAGGGAAACAGTGGCTGGGCGGTTGCGGATGCGCCTGGCTCCTGAGTCCCAGGACATTGCACTGGGAAGCTTGGACGGCACTTAGGAGCTCCTTCCCCTTCCTTGTTTACAGTGCCGGTGGGCAGTTTCACACACTCACACTCAGAATGACCCATCGCACCCACACCGACACACACTCAAGTGCACCCTGATCACACATTCACACGCATGTATACAGACTGTTCCTCACTCGGCACCAGTAGCCACTCTTCCTTCTCCAGAGACTGTGAGGTGGAGAGAGACATGTGTGTGCCCCGTTCTCCAGGGCTCCCACGCCTCCAGCCAAGCTGGCCAGTCCTGGAAGGAGTTTAAGAGAAGCAGGCTGGTGGGGTGCTGGCTGGGACTCAAAAGAGCCCCCCTTCTGAGGCCCGAATGAACTTCATAAAGCCTGGGCAGGAGCTGACTCGCCAGGTACCTGGGCACTCCTTATCGCACTCTGTGCTGGGACAGGAAAAGGGGGTTCTTGGGGGCCACGTCATGCCTTCCCCACAGCAGGATGGAGAACGCTGTTTCCACCATGCAGACTGCCCAGGCCTCCTCCATCCAAGAACCAGCCTGAGAAGCCTCCCCTCTGTGCCTGGGGAACCAAACCCTTTTCTGAGGGCCCGGTGGTGGGAAGTTGGTGCTTGAAGAGCCAAGCAGACGCCATAATTTGACGAGGAATTCTGGGGGTCTTGTCGCGGTGGAAGCGTATGCTTCTGTTTGCGATGGTGGAGGCAGTGATCTGGTCAGAAGCCCAGAAGGGGAACATGCGTTCAAAGTGAAAGTGGGCGCATTCCACGGGAACATAGGGGTGTCGGAGCGCTCCAGTCCCTTCCACCCCAGGTGGGCTGGTGAGCTGCCAGGTATGGACCTGCCGTCTGGTCCCAGCTTGCAGACTCGGCCCTAAACTGGGGGCACTTTGAATATCCCAGCCCCTGCATCCCCACTCCCATCCCGCCTCTCTGCTCTCCAAGGCTCCTGGTCTTCCTGCAAGGTCCAGACCAAGACGGCTGGGCTCCGGCTTTTATCCATTCTGATCTCCAGGTTTGCCCGGACCAATGTAAGTGTTGCCCAATAAAACCTTCTGTGACCCCCCCCTCCCATCCCCTTCATCATACACACAACCAGTGTGTCCTTTCCCTGCTGCCTTAGCTCTGGGTAAATATTGATTTGCCCCCAGTTTACCTCCTCCCTGACTGTCCAGTTGCAGACTAAAACACCGGCCTCTGTAGGGACCTGATTTTTGTGTGACTTTCCGGGGCCTGTTTCCCCCTTCCTTCCTCCAAGCGGCATAGTAAAACTCGAGGTGACAAAGAGGCAGGGTAGGGTTCAAGGCCCCAGTTCCTGACGACTTGAGGGCTATTTTACATACGGGTCAGACAGGGCTGGAGGCCAAGGTCAAGTTGAACATTGCCAGTCTAGCCAATCTGAGAACTGCCATGCAAGCCTGGAGACCCAGGCAGCTGTGAAAGGCCCACCGCCCATCTCCCCTCACTCCTGACTCTTTTCTCCTTGGGAATTCTTATTTCTGGCTCTGTTCGGTCATGGAGCAGTTTTTGCTGCCTTTGTGGAGTTTTTCGGGCGGTGTTTACAGACTCTTCTTCTCTGCCTCCGCCCTGCTCTTGGCTCAAGCTTCAAGCCTCTTCTGTTTTCTAGCCAGACCTGGAATAACGAAAACACAGCTCGGGGAGCCCCCACTGAGCCGGCGCCTGTGCCAGCTCACCTCTGGCCATGGCGCAGCTGCCGGTGCACGCAGCGGCCAAGGCCAAGGCCAGCTCCACATTCCTCCATCCCTCTCCCCACTTCACCGGAGACCGAGCCCTGCGTGCAGAGGAAGGGCCCCAGCTCCACAGACTGCCAAAGTCGACTGGGTCTCTCCTCACCAAAAATGGTGAGACAGGATGCTGAGGAGCCCCCCCGATCGAGCGAGCAGGTTTGTCTGGGAGGGACGGCGCTGGGGAAAAGCTTTGGGTTGCATCTCAAATTAGGCTTTTGTTCCTACGTGGCGGCCCCGCCAGGGAAGGGCTTCCAGTCTGAATTATTTATTGAGCCTCGTGGTGGATCTTTCGTGGTCAACTTATCCGGATAGTTTCTTACTCCTCTATCAACTTTCAGACACTCTCCAGACATGGTTACTTGGAGGGAGGCAACCTGTGTTCCCTTTCCCTTCATGTCTTGGATCTCCATAGAGGAGATGATTGTTCTGTCAGGCAAGTCAATGGCGTCCTGGCATGCCGTCACTGTTTTTAAAAGTCTGCAGGCTCCGCGAGATATAGAGCTGTAGCCACTGACCAGTGGGGATGGTTTATGGAATTTGAATGAGCTCCGTGAATAATTTTGGGTCTCAGTTTCTAGGATTTCTACTCCCTTTGAAGCAAGAAAATCTCTTTCTCTCCCCTTCTTGTCCTTTGTCAAGGGGCGTGAGAGATTTGTGAATGGTTCCCAACACCATTTCTTAGCCTCCTAGCCCTGCCGGCAGCCACTACACTGACTTGCTGTGGAAAAAGAAAGGTTGCAGGGCAAGGAAGAACTCGAGTGTGCCTGGGAAGCAAGCACAGAACCCCAGCGCACTTCTTTTTCCGAACAGCAAGATCAAGATTCTTGCCTGCTCAGCTAGTTGGTCCTGACCCTCTGTGTGTTTTTTGTTGTTGTTGTTGTTGTTGTTGTTTTGTTTTTTTGGTGTCTACCAGACTCAGTCAGGAATTCCTATGGGGTTGCAGAGAGGTGCTATCCACTTGAAACCTGGCAATAACCATTTTATCCCTTTGTGAGCTAGGTTAAGGAAGCCAGGGCACCCAATGGGATCTGAGGGAGGAAGTGGCCCCTTGAGCAAGAGGGTGACAGGGGTGGAGGTGTGCCCTGATGTCCCCCAAGGGGGCCCTGACCGGGCAGAAGGGGCCAGATGGGAGGATGGTGGCCGGCTAGGGGCACAGCCTTTGTTCCAGGAGCCAGACCTTTCTTTTGCCAGACCCTTGGCAGGCATGGCTTCTAGCCTCTTAGGGCCAGTCAGGGTGCCTATGGGCCTCAGTATCCTGGAGTCTCCTTCTGAAGAAAGAGATCTTGGCTATTTTTTTTGGGGGGGGGGACGGTGGGGGACTCCTTACCAGCCTGGGCCATGGCGAGCTGGGCTCCTGGGGTTAGAAGAGAAAAGGACAAAGGGAAACGGGGTTTTAATCGAGTTTGATTTTCACTAGCAAATGAAATTTACCTGCTCTCACTCTAACTGGGAGGAGGCTGTCAGCACTGCTCCCTGGCGCTCTTTCTCTGCATCCATCCAGCATTAGGATAAACATTCCTCCGTTGGTTTTAAAGACACTTTGTATTTCAAGATATTCATGTGTTTCTAATGTATCCAAGCAGCTTTACGAGCGGCATTTGCAGAACATCTTAACCCTCTCTCTCCCACGGCAGGAGGGGTGGGGCTGCAGAGATAATGGCAAAGGAAGAAAGATATGGAGGAGGGAATGGCAGAGAAGCCGAGGCTAGCTTAGCAGGAAAGAAAAAGAGATTTGGGGGAAAACAACTGAACAGGAAAGAACCCGGGATCTGCAGTCCACTAGACCACCTGGGGAAGAGACAAGTGTAGGCCGTTCTGGTCACAGTGGGCTTTGTGGGTTTCCCCACCCTTATTCCACCGGGGTGGAAGCTGCACTCTTCTCTTCTCTTCTCTTCTCTTCTCTTCTCTTCTCTTCTCTTCTCTTCTCTTCTCTTCTCTTCTCTTCTCTTCTCTTCTCTTCTCTTCTCTTCTCTTCTCTTCTCTCCTCTCCTCTCCTCTCCTCTCCTCTCCTCTCCTCTCCTCTCCTCTCCTCTCCTCTCCTCTCCTCTCCTCTTCAATTCTCTTCTCTTTTCTCCTTCCTTCCTTCCTTCCTTCCTTCTTTCCTTCCTTCCTTCCTTCCTTCCTTCCTTCCTTCCTTCCTTCCTTCCTTCCTTCCTTCCTTCCTTCCAAGGAGGAAGGGTAAGTTCTGAAGAGACCTGAGCTGAAGCTGGGCAGTAGGCAGGGCAATGGCCTACCCTGAGTTACTTGCTCAAGCTTTGGTTCTAGCTTTTTGTGCATTTGGAAGCATTAATGAGGCAGCAAAAGGCCCAAGGCGGTGGGGACAGTTTTTAACTCTGGGAAGTCATGTGGCTCCGTGGTGACCGATGCTCACAGTGACAATGGAAGTGCAAGCTCCAGGGAGACCCACACAAACTGCACTTGGCCATTCAGATCCCGTCACCCCCTGGATGTGAGGACAGCAAGTTTGGGGAGGAGCAGCTCTTTAGATGTGGGGGGAACGGGGGTCCTTCAGTGCCAGGCCTGCCAGGCCTTCCAGGCCAGCGATGCACAGCGCCTGGGAAAGGAAGTGGCAGGAGCCCCGGGAAGACCTCCGTTGCAGTGTTG